AAAGTTGAAGAAAATGTGACGAATCGAAATCAAAATATAGTATATATGATACTGAAAAGAAAAGTAGACTCTCTTACAATATATTTGATTTGAGGGGAGAGAAGAGAAGAGAAGAAAAGGCGGAAGATGAAACATTTTTTATTTGGTTAGTAAAAAATTTAGAAGGGAGGGGAGCAAAGTCATTTGCTTTATCTTCTACTTTAATTTCTCTACTTGTCCAAATAAGAAGTGGAGAGGGGGAGGGAACTAGAAGAATTCCCTTCCCTCTATTTTCCTCAAACCAAATATATTATTACTTAAAATCAAAAGTAGATATTTGTTTTTTGTTTGAAGATCAGGTTCAAGTTTTGAATACAATTATTGTTGCATTCAAATTATAACATTATTGATATATTCTTTTTGTCCCAAAATAATAGATTTTTTTTTATTAAAAAATTATTGGTATGCTCTATGATTCAATACACTCACCAACACCTACTGATTTAGTCACTAAAATATGTAGTTGAAAATTTGCTTGCCTTAAATTCAAATTTAAAATGATAATTTATTAATGTGTGTTATAGAATATGTTAAATCAGAATGTGTATCAATTATTGTTCTTTTTTATTTTATTTTCAAAATTTAGGGGCAAATTATACTTTTACCTATATTATACTTAAACAAATAAAAATAAAGAAAATTTTTTATTATAGAATGAATAATTAAAGTTAAATGATAATGATAAAATTAAAGTTAAATGATAATGATAAAATTAAAGTAAAAAAATGTAAAAACGATATAACTACAATGTCATGTGACGTTATAACCTTACAACATGAAAATATATCGTTATATAGTTAATTCTTTCCATGCATTCAGGAGTTCATTCATAATATTATAAGCATCTACTTATTTAATAAAATATTACACTCATTTAATTACATGTTGTAATTGTAAACCTATAATTCTATGTAGTATTATAATTCTAGCATTGCAGAAAAATATTTGTCTATGTTAAAATATAAAAAATAACTACTATTATTATAAAACAAATTTTAAATTAAAAAATATCAATTATTTTGACACAAAAGTAATATATTAAGATGATTATTTTAAAAAAAATAATTTTATTAAATAAATGTATTAAGATGTGAAAATGCATCTTTAAAATCAGAATAGTTTCAAAATAAACGTGATCTTAGCCT